ACTCCCTAGTGGAAGGGTTTCTGTCCAAACCGCCCCCCTCCTTATGGACCTGGACAACATGTTGCAATCAGTGCCGCCCAATAAGAGTGTGTTTGACGTGTTGGTGCCGACCAATCAGAACTCACACCACCAACCCCCCAGTCAGTACACCCTGCAGAGCGGCCCCCACCTGAACAGGTACCCTCAGTACTGACTGAAACTCTGACTATTGGTGCAGGGCTGGAAGATAAACCACACAGGAAATACATTTCTGATGCAAACTCTCCTAAATCAGCATCAATCACTACCTCCAGGACAAGAAATGTTGACACATGTTTTTAAATAGATGAAAAGTCTACGTTTAATTTTTTTATGTCGCTATTTCCCCTTATTGTTTGTCAGTGTGTGAAGTATTACATGGTTTCTTTGGGGGAAATGTGCCACAAACGGCTATACAACAAAACCGATCTACCTCAGACTCACTGCAAAGTTGCATTGTTTTTTTATTCGCATGATTTTTTTTTTACATTAATTACTTTTGTATGTTGTCTACCTCGACGCTGAATGTATTGTTGGATCTAATCTTGAATTTTAAAGTCAAGAAAAGTTTGAAATAACTGTTTTTTCAGGGTGTGAACAGACACTCACTTGTGCCATTTGTGAGTTTGGTTTGTTTGTTCAGATTACCAAAATGTTTCTCCTTGTCTGGACTGTCTCAGTTTGGCCGTATAATTGTCTTATTCCATTTGTGTTTGATTGGTTTACAAAAACAATCTTAACCAACAAAATTGACAACATTTTAAATTGTAGTCATTCTGTGAAAATGCTGCCTGTCTTCAGGACAACCACGACACAACCTCCAGTCTCTCCCTCAGGTTTGAATGTTTCCTGTGGACTTTGCACTGCCTGTTCTTTGCACTATTTTAATGTCATTATGATCATCTTCCAAGTGAAATTGCTTGTAAATATCTGCCTACCTCGACAGCTGAATGCCGTTTTTCCCTGTGGTCTTGTTAAAGGTTTGTACAGTAATGAGCTGAAGGGAAAACAGCTCAACGTATTATAAGGAGGAAGTGGAGTGGAACAGGGTATGCAATAAAATGCGGTTTATTTTAACTCTGCTGCTCAGTGTGGTTTGTGGCAATGACTAAAGTCAAACTGCAACTCAAAGTCTCTTTACGGCGTGCATGTTGGATTGACTTTATCATTTATGTGTTAGTTTCAGCACGTTGGTTCAGATGCTGTTTAGGGCGGCTCGGTTTATTTGCTGACAGCTGGACTCTAGCAGTGTTGCACAATTTGACTAATGGCTGTCTCTTTAAGTCTCTTGATCTTTAATATTCAATGATTATTGGCTTTGGTTTTTAACTGCAGGTTAAGAGCTGCAATGATAGAGCAACTCATTTTAAAGCATTTTTTCATGCAAAAGTACAAGAAAATGCTTTTTTCTGAAGCTCAAATATTAACTATCTTTTTCAGTTTTATATCAAAGCGAATATCCTTAGGAATTTTCGGGCCATTTTACAAACCAATTAAGCCCAAGCAGATCTATCAATGTAAATAGCCGTTAGCTGCATATAATTACTTTATTCAATCGATTTGTTTTTTAACTATTTAGACATTTGTAGCTAATGTTTGAACTATTAAGCCATTACACATAGCTTCCTAATTTTACCATTTAAAGGTGGGGTAGGTAATTCACTTCAGAAACACTTGTTATATTCCATGGAATGCTCTTAACATCCTGATAGCAATGAATATATTAAATGCTTTGACAATAAATACATAAATAAATGTAATCTGTGGAAGCCGTGGCGCTGTAAAAAGCACGACCAATCATCTGAGCCGGCCCGGCTAAAATAACTGGATGGCCTACCTGCCTGTCAGCCTTCCATCTGTGCACAAACTTATCTCGTGCCCTCATTGGTCATGTGCGCGCTCGTGTGTGTTGGAGGAGGGGCTCTGTAAGGAAGTCTGAAGGAAGGGGCAGATTTTTTCCGGCTGCGTATTTTCAAATTCTAACGCACTCTAGCCGGTTTCTCCATTCTTACCTACCCTACCTTTAATAGTTCATTATTTAAACCATTGTTCAAACTATGTTCTCAACTATTTCAATTTGTTATACATCACCTTAAACTATTAGACCTGATTAATTCGGCAAAATATTTCAACTTATTATTCAACCATCTTCTGTTAACTATCTCATCTATTTATAATGTTTAGTACATTATTTTAAACTCCAACCCCATTTATCTTATAGCTAACTTTGTCAAGAATGAATTCATTATCTTTAGCTCTCTTTTTGTACCGTTTATTTTGACTAACTAAGTTGAAATGAAGTCATTTATCTCAATTAGTTATTTAGTCTATGTATGAACGCAAGGCTTTACTAATGACCTTCTGTTTTTAGATTGGTTGTTAGGGTTGCCTCTACAGTTTCTCAAAGCATTTACATTAAGGCTGGTGCCCCACGAGGACGCATACGGTAAAACGCAAACGCAATCGCAAAAAAAGCTTCCGTCCACACGCAATAGACACCGGAAAGTGTCTGTTCACACGAGACAGCTCCGTTTAACTCCAACCGCTGGAAAAGCTGCAGGAGAGGCGGGGCTATTGCGTCATCATTATCAGAAAATGATCGTATAGGGCGTACACACGGAGCCGTTGGACCCCCCAGAGCGTTGCGTATGCCGTTCTATCCACCTCGGGACCCGTTATCGTAGTCGTTTACTGCCATATTCTGTCGTCCTAGTGTGGCCGAATTGGCTATATGACACAAAACTGTCACGGAAACTACCGTATGCGTCCTCGTGGGGCCGGGGCCTAACTCTGTCTATTTAATTTCACAACTAAGGACTTTCTCTTGAGTCACGCTTTCTTTCTCTTCAGTCTCCAAAACTCAAAGCTATTTTCTTCCAGTAACTGAAGTATAGAGATGGAGAGATAGTGCCAGATAGCAGCAGGGGGCGAGTTAGAAATCCTCTCAGTTTGATAGACTGTTTTACCACAGGAATTGTGATCTATAAACAACAATCTTTGATCCACAGCCCATGACACTCTCTCTCTCTCTCTCACTCACTCACACACACACACACACACACACACACACAACACACACACACACACACACACACACACACACACACACACACACACACACACACACACACACACACACACACACACACACACACACACACACACAACACACACACACACACACACACACACACACACACACACACACACACACACCTGATTTACATCCAGAGTCCAGCCGTCAGCCTCCTGCTGTTCTCTGCTATCTCTTTATCAGCCGCCTGCTCATGCCTGCACTCCCTCACCATCCTTCCTCCTCTCCTCCCTCATCATTCCTCACCCACAGAGGGGAGGAGGGGACGCCACTTAAACAGGGACATGTCCCCTTCCCCCAAACACACACACAACGAGCCATTCTTGAATGCATCTCAACAGCTCCATGAATTTACATGCATGGCTGACATTGTGTTGTTTAATGGTCTGTGATTGCCTGGCTGGAAGTGTTCTTTAAATTGTCTGCGTTCCCACACACCTTTTTTATAATTGTCCATAGTAAAAGGGCTATTATTGTTAAAGTGAATTATGTATGATATGTAGTGAAATCTGATATAGCCCTAGTATGTATTTATTTATTTGTATATAAGTATTTGCACATTCATACTAGGCTTTCCTTCCTTTTACATTTTTATTATTTTCTCAACTTTACCGTTATTCTTTTAATGAAAATTATATATTAGTATATTTAAGCAACAGTACATTAATGTTAACTCTTATAACAATGAAAAAATCCCAATGCCTACTTCCATACTGCACACGTTTCACAATGTAAATTAATCTTTGCAACCATTTCACACAATTCCTACAAACACATTCATCGTGTCTTACATTAAAACACGTAGGGTTTTCTCTAAAGGAATGAAAAGAGGACAATCTAATTAGTAGAAATGGGGTTTATTTGACTGTCTTGTTAGAAAACAGAAGAGCAGACACTACATTAGGACTTTGTTGTTCCAGTTCAACATAGATTAGCAGATGCTTCATATGATTTACTTCAATTAACTTCAGTTCATTTCAGTATTAAAACACACTATGCTTTCCCTTACCTGGCTAATGTACACTGGGATATGTTTTATCACAATGGGACTGTAAAAAGATGTGTAAATATTAAAGGTGGGGTAGGTAATTTTGGAGAAACCAGCTCGAGTGCGCTAGAATTAGAAAATACACAACCGGAGAAAATCTGCCACTTCCTTACAGAGCCCCTCCTCCAACACACACGAACGCGCACATGACCAATGAGGGCACGAGATAAGTTTGTGCACAGATGGAAGGCTGACAGGCAGGTAGGCCATCCAGTTATTTTAGCCGGGCCGGCTCAGATGATTGGTCGTGCTTTTTACAGTACTACGGCTTCCACAGATGATATTTCTTTATGGATTTTTTGTCAAAGCACTTAAAGTGGACCTATCATGCTATATTTGAATAATATAGTGTAGGACCATACCTATATAAGGCATATTTATACTTTTTTTTTTTCAAAATACCAAACAGATCATGCATTTTAGCCATGTCTCATTTTGCTCAATTTGACATTTTTTAGATCTGTTTTTGCAAGGGCAGATTCTGTGAGAACAGCACCATCTACAGGCCTGGCATATGTACTACAGCGTCTCCAGCGCTTTCGAACGGCAATGGCCGTGGCTGTCTCCTTCTGATTGGTGGAGTTGGCCCAATAGCCGTAGCGCCACCGTCCTGACGTCAGGACAGTGTTCAAATCTGGATCAGTTTTGATCAGATCCGTTGCAGCCCCTTTTTTAGAGATTTGGGTATGGAGGAAAATAGAGAGGGTTGTGTTTTCTGACACTTGGTGAGTTCCCTGGAACACCGGGGACACATATTCATGTATAAAAGACGTACAAAAGTGCATTTTGCATGATAGGTCCCCTTTAAGATATTCATTGCTATCGGGATGTTAAGAGCATTCCATGGAATATAACAAAAAGTGTATCTCGAGCCGGTTTCTCAAACTTACCTACCCCACCTTTAAACAAACAATTACATTTTTGTAAACAGATTCTACAAAACAGTATTATTGAAATTAGTTTTGTGCCTGAGGTTATTTTATGCTTTCCAAAATAAATCTGTTGCTTGACATATTTCCCCTTTTTAACGTTAGTGTGTGCCTTTCTCTGTCTCACAGTTTATTGCTTTGATCGTTTCACTGACAAAAAGCCCCCCTCTGTTTCTGTGATTTCCCACCTCCTCTTCTTCTCTCTGTTAACTCTTCCTCTCTTTCTGACTCCTCTTCACACTCCCTCTTGGGCCATCCGGTACTCGAAGACGCTGCCTCTCTCGGGGAAAGAGTCGTTGAGGCGCCGGCGCTTCGTTTGGGGTTTTCCGTTCGTGTCCCCCTCTCTTCCATACCCTCCTCCTCCGGGGGTGTAGAGGCAGAACATGTCCTGTAGGGGGAGACAGAGAGACACAAAAAAAGAGAAGGTTAATCTGACTGCTTATAGTTAAGATAAGATCAAATAATAATTACTTTATTGATCCCAATGTGGGAAATGTTTGTGTTGCAGCAGCATAAAAGACATGGCATTGTACAATACAAATTAAAAGGTAAGAAATAAACAAGAAAGTAGAAAATATACATGTTGTCAGTTCACTCTTTGACCATTTTTTAAATGTAAAGCTTTACATGAACTATATATTTTTTTATAAGCTAGTTCACAATAGCTTTCTTATGTGCTTCATGCTGTGCTTCCTCTATGATCCTCTATGAAATAAGTATTTAGTCGTTTTTTGGTAGATATTTGGCAGATCGGGACTAATATTGATTAAAAGAGTGAAAATGGAAAGTGATAACATGTATTTTTATGGCAGCTTTTGACGCAGACACATTTTAAAAGTGAAGCACAATGGTTAAAATGTTTGCTTTAAATACAAATATAAAAAAGGATCATTGTCATGTAAGAAACATGAATACACAGGAATGAACCTGCGATCAGAATATGCAACATAACAACGTTCATTTCACTCTGACATTTGTAACTACTGTTTCTTTCACACATGCACAGTCTATATATATATATATATCCTTTATTTAACCAGGTAAAAAGTCTCATTGAGATTAAAATCTATTGACCTGGCTAAGAAGGGCAGCATGAACAACAGATAAAACAAAGACAATACAGGCAGACGAATACAGTCGTAAAAACAAATTAAATGGCACATTAACCAGTCTATATGCGATAAAAGAAACTATTAGAAATCATTAAAAACTGTCTTAAGGCCCCGCTCACACGGGACCGTTTGCGTTTATGCACAGTATGCGTATTCAAAAAAGTCTTCCTTTCACATGCATTCGTTTCATTTAACGTGTCTGTTCAAACGAGGCCGCTGGAAACGCTGTAGTACATATGCTGGGACTGTAAGTGGCGCTGTAACTTCCGCCAAAATACACCAAAAGCCGCGAAGAAGAGCAGCCCGAGCAGCCCCGCCGCAATGTTGCCATGGCTACCCTTCTGTTTAAGCCCCGCGGTGTATTTAGCAACATGTAGTTCATCAGGGCTGCCAACACTCACGCATTGAGCGTGAGAGTCACGCAATTAACCCATATCTCACGCACTCACGCCACACTTGCCTTTCCTCACGCTAAGTTTTCGTCCAAAATAAATGTATATAAAAATAAAGTGAAGGAACAGCAAACCGAGGGGTCTACGAAATGAGACTTCACGGATCAATAACTCATGAACAAAACGTTATTCAGACACAAATGACGTCTCCTAAGTACCGTGGTAAGGTTGACAACGAACTACAATCACATTTTGATAAAAAAAAGCCAATACGCGCCGTCCTCCGGGCTGGACACATTACATTGGTCTCTATCCGCAGCCGGAGAAGAAACGAGTGCTCAGGGACCGTCTGCAAAGTGCAACCCCCGAAAAAAGAGAATACAATAATATTCAATCACTATTATACAGTATATTACTACCAAACTCACTACACACATCAATAGTCTCCTGTGTGTCATACTACAGCAAGGAGTTTGGAAGAATATGCTTTTGAATAATTTTGGGGAATATTTATAATGTAAAATCTTCAATAAATATGGCATCATCTTAAATAACTTTACTATTATACAGTATATTTCTACCAAACTCACTATTTGCATTGTTGTTGTTAGCATCTGGTTAGCTAGCTGCGCTAAGGGATATTAGAAGCTGTTTCTAAAACAAGGAAAGGGAGAGCTCTCTCCTGTCAGACTGAGAGAGATAACTACAGTGAGGTAAGGGACTCTCTGTGTTTAGATAGTTAACTTTAGTCTAGTTATCTCAGTGGGTCTCAAACGGTTTGGTCACCATTTATGAGAATAAATGAAAAACAGTTATGAAATACTATATGACAGTAAAACAAGAATACAGTTTAAAAGGTGAGTGATTTGTAAAATATCCATAAAGAAAAAGAAAATCTGTTTACAGTTCTGTTTCATATGGGTGTTGAGAGATGTATCCATAAATTCATTTTGCTCTCAAAGTGCACCAGGTTGATGCATTTAACTTCAATATTGAAAAAAAATACAAATACATTTGTAACACTGTACAAATGAACGTTTCTTTTTTCGGTTCAACAAAAAAAAAATCTCACTCCAAGCTGAACTCAAATGTTGGCAGCCCTGAGTTCATGTAATTCTCCATGTCCACTTGTTGCTGATGGTTGTGGTAGAGGAGCTGTAGATTTTGCACTAATATCTGTAGCATGGTCAGTAGCAGTAGCACTAGCAGTAGCTACTGACAGGAGGAAGTGTGTGTGGCGATTGCTGGTATTCAGCGGGATATAGTAATTTCCTCAGCATATGGATAAATGCAACGGGGAAGTTAACTGAAAGAAACCGAATCTGTGGATATTGCATCGACCGACCAAGAAGCACGTCTCTGTGGAGAGGACGCGCTCAGAAAGAGAGATATTCTCTACAAACACCGGGTGAGATCCTCCTTTGTCAATATAATGGATCAATGCATGAAATCTGACTCTGTTTATTTTGTTTAAGGAGTATATTGGGCGTTAACAATTCTGGTTTGCCTTTTATAATATTATTTAATTCAAGAACCCCTTGTGCGTTTAATTAACACAGCTATTTTTGATAGTTGCTACAGCAGTAAGCAGGAGAGGTGGGGAGAGGTGGGGCTATCGCTATTTTTTCAGGAAATATTCGTATAGAGGTGATTACACGGACTCGGTTGACCCCCCAGAGCGTTTCGTTTGCAAATCTATCCACCTTGGGACCCGTTATCGTTTGTGGGGTCAGTTTCTATCGGCCTCGTGTAAATAATAGGGCTATACGCACGCGAAACTATTCAGATACAAGCAGTTTTCTCCTCGTGTAAACGGCGCCTTAGTCTCACCCCGGGCTGCAGGCTGATGCTGGTCTTGCCTCCCAGGTTGAGGACTCGTCCGTCGGCTCTGTGCAGGAGGTTCAACCCGGAGGAACCGTCCTCACCCCCTGAGCCGCAGAGAGAGTGTTGGAGAGAGACAGAGCAAATACCTTTCAATGCAAATTAAAAATGGTCATATGCATATATTATAATGACTATTATCATAATTATCTTAGTATCAGTTGACGTAAAAATAGGATGAGAAATGAAACTGTGTTGTTATCTGAACATAGACTTGTAGGAATGTATGTTTTAGAAATGGGTGTATGTATGTATATGTGTACATATGTATGTGTATGTATATATATAATTTAGTTTATCTGTGTGAGTATTTAATTATCTTTTATTGACTTTATCCTGCAACAGGATGACTAGCGGGAGGGCTACCTCTGTATAGACTGCTTTCTGCCCTCCCACTTCTACACATTGTGTTTGTTTATTAGATGTATAAACTGTCTAATTGTTGAAATAGTAGAATAAATAATAATTAAAAAATAAATATATAAGTCTATATACATGTAAATAGAATATGATATGTACAAGTACAGAATATTAAATTAAATAATGTAAATTAAGACAAAAAATTCAATACGGTTTATTGCGGTGTATAAAATGTCTGCTGGTTCAGGTTGAAAGGGTCAGAGGTTGTTACAGGATGTGTATTTTGTAAATTGTGTTGTTACAGGATGTGTATTTTGTAAATTGTGTTGTTACAGGATGTGTATTATTTTGTAAATTGTGTAATTTTTATTATAATTTTTGTATCTTTAATATTTTTTTACGCATGCTTCTTAGGTAACATTCCGCTGTCTGTGGCTCTTTTCTGCTGTAACAATGTAAATGTCCCCTCTGTGGGACGAATAAAGGTATTCTGATTCTCAGGTTACCCTGCAGGCCGTACGGTCGGGTGGACCTCCTCTCCGTCAGCACCGACAGCACCACCTGGTTCCTGAACAGAAGTTTCCGCACCACCCCGTCTCCCCCGCAGTATTTCCCTGCTCCTCCTGAGCCGGGCCGCAGAGAAAAGTGCTCTAAGATGACGGGATATCTGAAGAGCAGCAACACATGGGTCAATATTCATACAAAGTGTTGGGAAAATACTGAATGTACTCTTCCAATATCAGAGTACACATGATAACAAAAGTATCCCAACTGAAGCTGTGTACATGACAGGATGTATGATTACCGAGAAGAGCATCAGGACTGTTTTAGGCATATGATAGCTATGTGATTAACATGATGATTCAGCCTCTATGGAGATAGACATATGACAAGCATGCTCATTTCTGACGTGGAGCTAATCTGAAGTAAACATTGAATACTGCTTTCTATTCCTCCATCTTGTGACTGTGTAACTCCCTCTCTTGGATATCAGCATGTGAAGGACACTGTTCAGGAACTAGTTGATGCTCTGTATGTGATGACTACTTCCATTCTGGAGAGGATCAGAGATACATGGATCCTGAGATTGAAGCTCAAGCCGGGGACTAGGGATATTTTCCTAACAAAATACTTGAGCTCATGTCTGACCTCTTCTCCAGGATCTCGGGGTCGGTGATGCGGGTGTTGGTCATGTGACTGTGAACTCCGCTCCGCCCCCTCCAGCCTGGCCCCGCCCCCGCTCCCCCGGCAACCGTCTCATAGTAACCAACGCTCTCACTGCCGAAGGAAATGTTGTTCATGCAGCCCTGAGAGGAGGAGGAGGAGGGAAAAGAAAAGTATGGGAAGTTCAAAAAAGTTTTAAAGGTCCCCTATTATACTGTTTTTCATCAATATATTATAGGTCTCAGATATATACAGAGCCTGTCTCTGATTGGCTGAAACACCAAACAGATCATTGCAGCATCCCATAATCCCCTCTGTTTCAGCCCTGTTTCCAAAGTGCTGATTCTCTGTCTGTTACTTTAGATGACAGGTTTTTATATAAATGGATCAGGACAAAAAGAGAGAGAATCTTTGTTCCTGAAACTTTTAGGGTCTCTTTACACAGAGGGGACACATGTTGATGTTTAAAAGATGTGAAGAAGAGGGGACACATGTTGATGTAGAAGAGACATGAAGAAGAGGGGACACATGTTGATGTAGAAGAGACATGAAGAAGAGGGGACACATGTTGATGTAGAAGAGACATGAAGAAGAGGGGACACATGTTGATGTAGAAGAGACATGAAGAAGAGGGGACACATGTTGATGTAGAAGAGACATGAAGAAGAGGGGACACATGTTGATGTAGAAGAGACATGAAGAAGAGGGGACACATGTTGATGTAGAAGAGACATGAAGAAGAGGGGACACATGTTGATGTAGAAGAGACATGAAGAAGAGGGGACACATGTTGATGTAGAAGAGACATGAAGAAGAGGGGACACATGTTGATGTAGAAGAGACATGAAGAAGAGGGGACACATGTTGATGTAGAAGAGACATGAAGAAGAGGGGACACATGTTGATGTAGAAGAGACATGAAGAAGAGGGGACACATGTTGATGTAGAAGAGACATGAAGAAGAGGGGACACATGTTGATGTAGAAGAGACATGAAGAAGAGGGGACACATGTTGATGTAGAAGAGACATGAAGAAGAGGGGACACATGTTGATGTAGAAGAGACATGAAGAAGAGGGGACACATGTTGATGTAGAAGAGACAGGAAGAAGTGGATTTTGCATAATAGAAAACACTTTTAAATGCACTAATGCAGTTTCTCTCACCTGTGAAGCGGCGCACACCTCAAACGCCCTGAAGATGACGTCCACCACTCTCTGGGATGTGAGCACGTTTCCTCCGACCACTGCTGCATTCTGGGAAGGCTGGAGGATCGAGCCGGGGGGAATGACCACTTTGATCGGAGCTAGACAGCCCTGAACATGTGAAGAAACCCCAATTCAATAACAGAAACTATATGGAAGTTATTATACTTTTTTTTAAGCATTTGGGTTTATTGTTTGATGTGCAAAAAGAATTACTGATCGACTCCAAGCTGAGCAAACTTTCCGATTTCAGTTTTTTTTTCTTGTTTATGCTAATTATAAACTAGAGTCCGACGCAAAAAGTGACAATTTCAGTGGAATGTTTTTGTTCTTTTAAACCACTGATGGCTGTATATTGAGATGCAATGGATTTTATAAGTGGGGGTAAAAGACTGAGATTTCTATTATTATTTTTTTGATTTTAATAAATTTTTTCACTGATTCCCGTTTTATTAAAACACATTAGATTCAGCTGATTAAGCCAACAGGACATTTGGTCCTCAGTGAGGAGATAACAATCAAACCCTTTTCACACATGCTCTGTATCCCTGAAACTATCGTATCCAGAGGAGGTTTATGTGAGAACACTAATGTCCTAACTACTCAGTCTGTGTGATGTCCAATTGATCCAACGTGTGAAAAACAGAAACAAAAAAACCTTCCAAAACCTCAAAGTATTTAAAAGAACGGTCACGTGATTAGCAAGGCCCACGCCACAGCCATACGTCCTTTAAGACTACATGGATGTTCTGGATGGTTCATAATTTAGCAGTAGATCAGAAATGTATTTTGGGCCTAAACCGTACCTGATTGAGGGGGATGTCCTGGCCCACCATGCAGCGCAGGCAGTAGATGAGGGCGGAGAGGGTGATGGCGCGCGGGGCGTTGCAGTTCCCCCAAACCTCGGTCCCCGTCCCCGTGAAGTCAAACACCGCACTGCCCTGTGGGGGGGGGGGGGATGATCAGCTCAGTGTCAGAGATGGCTAAAGTACACACATCCTTTACTCAAGTAGAAGTACAGATACTCGTGTTTAAAAATACTCTGGTAAAAGTAGAAGTACTGACTAAACTTCTTAACTCAAGTAAAAGTAAAGAAGTATGGGCTTTGAAATGTACTTAAAGGTAGGGTAGGTAAGTTTGAGAAACCGGCTCGAGATAGCTAGAATTTGAAAATACACAACCGGAGAAAATCTGCCACTTCCTTACAGAGCCCCTCCTCCAACACACACGAACGCGCACATGACCAATGAGGGCACGAGATAAGTTTGTGCACAGATGGAAGGCTGACAGGCAGGTAGGCCATCCAGTTATTTTAGCCGGGCCGGCGAAAATAACTGGTCGTACTTTTTACAGTACTACGGCTTCCACAGATGAATCTTTTTATGGATTTGTTGTCAAAGCACTTCAGATATTCATTGCTATCGGGATGTTAAGAGCATTCCATGGAATATAACAAAAAGTGTATCTCGAGCCGGTTTCTCAAACTTACCTACCCCACCTTTAAGTAAAAAGTACCCATAACTAGCATCTGTTTTAAAGAGTACCTGACCTCCCTTTATATTAATAGAACAATAATGTCATTGTTAGCTAATGAATGTTTCCATGCTGAACAACGGCAACATGACAACGTTTTCATTGGTCCCTCTTCTTTAGAGAAGACCAGGAAATGATGGATACACGGATCGTGTTCAAATCAATAGGCACGCAATGACTCTAAATAATAATGATCACGCCACCAAACACACATTCAAACTAAAGGAACCAGCCTGTTTGGGAAATGTGAGAAGTAGAAAGTACAGGTATTTGTGTTCAACATGTGAGAAGTAGAAAGTACAGGTATTTGGGTTCAAAATGTAAGAAGTAGAAAGTACAGGTATTAGTGTTCAAAATGTAAGAAGTAGAAAGTACAGGTATTTGTGTTCAAAATGTAAGAAGTAGAAAGTACAGGTATTTGTGTTCAACATGTAAGAAGTAGAAAGTTCAGGTATTTGTGTTCAAAATGTAAGAAGTAGAAAGTACAGGTATTTGTGTTCAAAATGTAAGAAGTAGAAAGTACAGGTATTTGTGTTCAAAATGTAAGAAGTAGAAAGTTCAGGTATTTGTGTTCAAAATGTAAGAAGTAGAAAGTACAGGTATTTGTGTTCAAAATGTAAGAAGTAGAAAGTACAGGTATTTGTGTTCAAAATGTAAGAAGTAGAAAGTACAGGTATTTGTGTTCAAAATGTAAGAAGTAGAAAGTACAGGTATTTGTGTTCAAAATGTAAGAAGTAGAAAGTTCAGGTATTTGTGTTCAAAATGTAAGAAGTAGAAAGTACAGGTATTTGTGTTCAACATGTAAGAAGTAGAAAGTACAGGTATTTGTGTTCAAAATGTAAGAAGTAGAAAGTTCAGGTATTTGTGTTCAAAATGTAAGAAGTAGAAAGTTCAGGTATTTGTGTTCAAAATGTAAGAAGTAGAAAGTACAGGTATTTGTGTTAAAAATGTAAGAAGTAGAAAGTTCAGGTATTTGTGTTCAAAATGTAAGAAGTAGAAAGTACAGGTATTTGTGTTCAACATGTAAGAAGTAGAAAGTACAGGTATTTGTGTTTAAAAATGTAAGAAGTAGAAAGTTCAGGTATTTGTGTTCAACATGTAAGAAGTAGAAAGTACAGGTATTTGTGTTCAACATGTAAGAAGTAGAAAGTACAGGTATTTGTGTTCAAAATGTAAGAAGTAGAAAGTTCAGGTATTTGTGTTCAAAATGTAAGAAGTAGAAAGTTCAGGTATTTGTGTTCAAAATGTAAGAAGTAGAAAGTACAGGTATTTGTGTTAAAAATGTAAGAAGTAGAAAGTACAGGTATTTGTGTTCAACATGTAAGAAGTAGAAAGTTCAGGTATTTGTGTTCAACATGTAAGAAGTAGAAAGTACAGGTATTTGTGTTCAAAATGTAAGAAGTAGAAAGTTCAGGTATTTGTGTTCAAAATGTAAGAAGTAGAAAGTTCAGGTATTTGTGTTCAAAATGTAAGAAGTAGAAAGTTCAGGTATTTGTGTTCAAAATGTAAGAAGTAGAAAGTACAGGTATTTGTGTTAAAAATGTGAGAAGTAGAAAGTACAGGTATTTGTGTTAAAAATGTAAGAAGTAGAAAGCACAGGTATTTGTGTTCAAAATGTAAGAAGTAGAAAGTTCAGGTATTTGTGTTCAAAATGTAAGAAGTAGAAAGTTCAGGTATTTGTGTTCAAAATGTAAGAAGTAGAAAGTACAGGTATTTGTGTTAAAAATGTAAGAAGTAGAAAGTTCAGGTATTTGTGTTCAAAATGTAAGAAGTAGAAAGTACAGGTATTTGTGTTAAAAATGTAAGAAGTAGAAAGTTCAGGTATTTGTGTTCAACATGTAAGAAGTAGAAAGTACAGGTATTTGTGTTCAACATGTAAGAAGTAGAAAGTACAGGTATTTGTGTTCAAAATGTAAGAAGTAGAAAGTTCAGGTATTTGTGTTCAAAATGTAAGAAGTAGAAAGTTCAGGTATTTGTGTTCAAAATGTAAGAAGTAGAAAGTGCAGGTATTTGTGTTAAAAATGTAAGAAGTAGAAAGTACAGGTATTTGTGTTCAACATGTAAGAAGTAGAAAGTTCAGGTATTTGTGTTCAACATGTAAGAAGTAGAAAGTACAGGTATTTGTGTTCAAAATGTAAGAAGTAGAAAGCACAGGTATTTGTGTTCAAAATGTAAGAAGTAGAAAGTACAGGTATTTGTGTTCAAAATGTAAGAAGTCAAAGTAAAAAGTCGTCAGAAAAATAAGTAGTGGAGTAAAGTACTGATACCAGAAAAATGTATTTAAGTACAGTAACTAAGTATTTGTACTCCACTACTTCCCAGCTCTGCTCATTGTGTTTCAGATGATCATGAGACGATGCTCCCTGCTCACCTCTGTTTCATTTATCTGAACTCTCAGTCTGATCGCTGTCCCGTCGTCCATGAAATCCTCCGCCTCCACATCTAAGGAGCCCGTTTCTTGCCGGCGGCGCCGAGCAAAGTCTCTGAGCATGTCCCTCACCGCCAGCTCTGCATTACTCTGAAACATCAACAGGAAGCATGTAGAGGTACAACACCAGCAGTACACACTACTACTATTGTTCACAAAAGAGTGGTGCAGGGATGAGGTATTTTTGAAGGCTGACCTGGAAGTTAGCATCGCAAAGGCTCTCTCCACAAAGAGCAATGGGGTCTTTCCATATCCATATAAACACCACTTGATTATTGAAGTAAAAAGCTAACGGTAGGCTATCACTGCTAAGCTTAAGATAAGATAAGATAAGACTTTATTCATCCCGAAGGAAATTGTTGTGCCAGAGTTACAAAAATACAATAAACACAGCAGCATAATAGTAAAACTGTACACTAACAGTGCAGCAAAAAGAGCAATTAAATATCTACAGGAAACAAAGACGGTCACATCATTAGTGTAAATATTACCAGTATTTAGTAGTGAAAAAAAACGTAGTGGCAGATACGTAATTGTACGGAGCCCCTAAAGGGACATGGGAAAAAAATTCAAAAAGAGAGAGAGAGAAAAAAAAAAGTCGGGATAACGGGTTAGTGAACTGTCAACGTGGGGGAGCCTCGCTGCGGGGAAACGGTGGACCTCTGTCGCCTGTCAGCGCAACTTCAATGATGCCGTTTAAAAACATAAAAATGTCAGGGCGGTACCGGCCATCAGCGGTGATTCTCCAGATGGCCAGTTCGCCCCACACACCCACACCCACACACACACACACACACACACACACACACACACACACACACACACACACACACACACACACACACACACACACACACACACACACACACACACACACACCACACACACACACACACACACACACACACACACCACACACACACACACACACACACGATTACTCCCCCTTTTATTCGTTTTATGAAGGAGATGTCCGGCCACCAGGAGGCATGATGTGAGTCTGTTTGTGCTCTGCTCCGCTCCGCTCTGTGTGTTCTGAGTGTTTGTTTCCCTTTAAAACAGCTGCAGCAGCAGGTACTCTGAGAGTCACGGACATTAATTCATAGATCAAAGCAGACTGGTTTACAGACTCTCCTGTTTTGCCAATGCTTAAACAAATAGCTCTACACCCCTGGCCGAAATGTCCATAAAATTAAGTCTGAGTTCGAAATATATCTCAAATAACTGTCATTTGGGCGTGATGACGGTTAGTCGTCACATTTGTCAGTAACAGCTGTTTTTAAATCCACCAGTGTGGTATTTACTGGCGTATTCTATGTCGTAGAACAAAAATATCTTAAACTTGTGTTAACCACAGACCTTATTTCAGGCTAACAACCAAAACTAATTCAGAAAACCATTGGAGAGGGGACAGGAATTGATCAAATGCTGACTCATATATGGGTTTTAGGACTCATTCCTGCACCACTAAAATCACTATTTCTACTGTGCACAGCAGAGTGGAGCCCAGAGAGTCCCTCAACGGAAAGCGATGGGATTTCTCCATTTCATTTTGGATTATAATTTATTATTTAAGGCATCTATCCAAAACACGCTGACTCATTTCCAGGTTTGAGGACTCATTCCTGCACCACTCTTTGACAGTGTTTTGTTTCTTTCACAGTTACCTGGATGTATCCCATGTAGGCCTGAACCACCGCTAACCCGTAGCTGTCAATCAACTCCCCCACCAGCTGGCTGCCTCTCCGATTGGCTGCCACCTGAGCCCGCAGGTCTGACAGGTTGTCATGGAGATTACGAGTCCCAGAGGATTCTGGGTACTGGGCCGGAGCCATCAGAGCTTCAGTTACAGCTGATAGAGACAGAGGGGAAAGAGACGGACAGAAAACAACATTACTGGATGTATTATTAAAGAAACAAATGTAAATGTTAAAGAACATAACTTAAAATGATTTATGTGGATATCTAAGGTCCCTCAACCGGACCATTCTGGTAGTTTCTTATGTTTTAGCCCATTAAACTTGACATGCATTCAAGATTGCAGCTGACTATTTCCCAAAGCACGCAGTACGTTTCTCGAGAAGTAACCTCAGAGGGTGCATCAGTCGTTCAAATACATGTTTGATGTGAGAAATGACTAAATTCATAGCATCCATGATTGCATTTTGTTTGTTTTCCAAACCAGCCTCTTCTTACCGTATATTAAAGGATATCTTGGATTTTTTTTTGCATAATTTATGAGGCAAGTCCCAATTTTGGAGAAGATTGCAAGACTACAAAAAATGTTTGTGTTATTGTGTGACTGTGTTGGTCGAGGCTGAAGTAGACCTCTGTGTTTTGAGAGGTAAATAATGTTTTTTCAATGGATTTGGGTGACTTTGATAGATAACAAGTCAAGAAAACTGGTGAAAATATTATAAATATAGTGTCCCTTGTCCACAGCAGTACATCTCTTAGCCTCCTGCTGTGACTCCTGTCTTTTTGGGGTCAAACACTGACTGTGGAAACCAGGTACAGTAAAAACATCCACATCTTTATCTGGACTTGTGGGCGAGACCCAGCTCTGACCTCTCTCTGTTCCCCTCCTCCTCCTCTCTTACCCTCTTCCTGGAAGACCCCACCAGTGACCAGTTTGAAGGAGATGAAGACGGCCCCCTCCTGCTGAAGGGAGGTGGAGTGGGGGGGCATGGAGCCTGGAGTGATGCCTCCGATGTCAGCATGGTGCCCCCTGCTGGCCACGAAGAACACAGGACTGCTCACCCCCTTCCTGAACACCTGGAGGAGGAGAGAAGTGGTATTTAGTGAGAAGATCGGACAACTGCAACTAGGATAAGAAGAGGTGCAGCGAGAGGAGATTGCATTATTCCACTCAGGAAAAGTTTGTTCAGTCAGTCTTCATTTTCTGTTAAAGCTGGGAACTCAATCCCATCTACAATCAGAGACCAGACTACATTTAGTGTATTTCAATCTCAACTCAAAACCTGGTTAGTGAGGAATCAGCTCTGAAACACTGACACAATCTTCTGCACCTTACTGATTAATGTGCACTGTCCCTGTAAAATAAATGAATACAAGAAAAGATCAAATGTAATTATGAGGAGATAAATCCGACACACAGCTGGATTACTTACTGGTGTGATGACTGTGAGGTCGGGGAGGTGGCTCCCCCCCGCACACGGGTGGTTACTCAGGATCACATCGCCTTCTTTCAAAGTGTTCCCCAGAGACCTGATCTGGAACTGCACGGTCTCCTGCATGGCCCCCAGGTGCACGGGGATGTGGGGCGCGTTGGACACCAAACCTCCGTCAGGTCCGAACACGGCACAGGAGAAGTCCAGACGCTCCTTGATGTTGGTGGAGATGGAGGTTCTTTGGAGAACCCTACCCATTTGTTCTGTAGAGGAACAGAGGAGGAACACAAGCTGGGTCTGAGTGTCTGGACTTTAACACCACACACACTCACACACTCAAATCCAGCACCGGACACTTTTTTTCACGCTGCTATGGACAATCTTGCACTAATGTACATTCTCAAAGTTATTGAAGTGACTGTTATTTTTTATATATTGATTGTTGTGCTTTTATTTAGGTCTTAATGTGTGCATATGTATACATGTGTCTGTTGATATACATATTTTATACATATTTTTATATACATTTGTATTTTTGTATTCTGGATTGTGGGAAACGGTATTTTGATCTCTCTGTCTGTACACACAAACTGAAACATTGACAATAAAGTTGACTTTGAGCTGATAAGAAAATGATACTCAACATGTTATAGTGACCCCCCCCCTTCCTCCACTTGACCCCCCCTCCTCTCCTCTCCTGTGTTTTTTTACCTGCGATGCTCATGAAGCGGTGTGAGAAGATGGAGAGCTGCACGGTGTTGAGCTCCGTGCCCAGAGCACAGTGAGGGTCCGAGCCCACCGTCATGCACACATCGCCCCCTGCTGTCAGCCGGGCCTCACAGCACGGCTCCACCAGGATGGTGCTGATGGAGGAAAGAGCAGAAAACATATAAATAACACAGGCAAAGATGCATACAGGCATTCATGTATTTGAAAGAAACCACTGTTAGCTTAAAAGTAAAAAGTAGGCTCAAGTGGAAGTATCTCAGTATGTGGAAAAATATCACGTCTCACTTAAAGGTAGGGTAGGTAAGTTTGAGAAACCGGCTAGAGATACACTTTTTGTTATATTCCATGGAATGCTCTTAACATCCCGATAGCAATGAATATCTGAAGTGCTTTGACAAAAAATCCATAAAAAAATGTCATCTGTGGAAGCCGTGGTACTGTAAAAAGCACGACCAGTTATTTTAGCTGGCCCGGCTAAAATAACTGGATGGCCTACCTGCCTGTCAGCCTTCCATCTGTGCACAAACTTATCTCGTGCCCTCATTGGTCATGTGCGCGTTCGTGTGTGTTGGAGGAGGGGCTCTATAAGGAAGTGAGAGATTTTTTCCGGCTGTGTATTTTCAAATTCTAGCGCACTCGAGCTGGTTTCTCCAAAATTACCTACCCCACCTTTAATGACAATTATTGGGACTGCAAAAGTACTCAGTCAATGTTTATCTATTCAAATGTTCCAGTCTGCTGACTACTTCCATTCTTGCAAGGATAATAAATACATGTATCCTGATTATTGAAGCTCAAGCCGGTGATGAGTGATATTTTTCCAACACAGTCAAACCTTTTTATTATTTTGACAGCTGTTATAACACCTGCCTGTTTTTGTCGATGATGATGGCCGGTCCCTTGATGCTGTGACCGGACGGCAGCTCCTCCCACAGATACACACCTGTGTCCAGGTACCCTTCCTCAAAGTAACACTTGGTCATCTACACGGAAGAACAGACAGTGAAACAAAAAATAATACATTTAAAAAGGTAGGATTTAAAACCGATATAAACTTGCTTTCTTTTGTCACTTTTTCACGTTAGGACGTTTTTCTGTGTGTATTTGAGTTGTATGTATTCATAAGAGTGTGTGTACCGTGACTGGTTTGGCATGTCCGCGCCCCGTCTTGGTTTTATACACAGATTTGATCCCAGATTTCCCACAACCCCTCACTCTGATGTCATCCACCATGATGGGTCTGTCTGGGATGGTGAATCCAAACTCCTTCAGATAACTAAAGAAGAGAAAAGGCAGCAGGAGGAATGTAGAGGAACATTAACCTTTAGTAGAGTAAACAACGTCAGCTGCAGAGTTTACTAAGCTTATCTCCTATGGAAAAATGACTGTAACTCGACTGTTTATACAATGTGAACAGAGGGCACAAAGGGTGACATGTGTAAGAGGCAATGCGTAAACCTGTTGAATAAATGTGTAGAGACAAATCTGACCGCTTGGTGAAGGCGCTGCGGAAGTCTCCGGCTGCACAGGACTGAGCGTTAGCGGGGTGAGCGTCAGCGGTGACCATGAGAGCGCAGTCTGTGCCTTTATATCGCAGGTGGAGGAAGACCTCCAGCGATATCTGACTGCTGAAGACGACAAGAAACAGAGAGGGAGGAAGTATTCAGAGCCTGCACTGAAGTACTAATACAACACTGTCCTGTATCCTAAACCTTTCTTTAAGGTTGGTATAAGAAAGTAAAAGTATTGACTGTGCTTCTGACGATTATTATGATGATATAATTCTGGCACAATATATATACCTCAACATTTAAAATTGAGAACATTCTGTGTACTTTTACTTAGATTTATTCCACAACTGCAATACACACACACCTCCATCTTGGTTTCATTACTTGTTTAGTGAGTATAACAGTGAAAACGACTCGACTAACACACCTACTAAATCCTCAGAACTGTTACAGGATGTGTATTTTGTAAATTGTGTAATTTTTATCATAATCTTTTTATGCATGCTTCTTAGGTAACATGAAGCTGTCTTTGGCTCTTTTCTGCTGTAACAATGTAAATGTCTCCTCTGTGGGACTAATAGAGGTTTTCTGATTCTGATTCTGTAGAGGGTCTAGTTGAACCTGATCACCCTGCAGTGTGTGTGCTGACCTGCTGAATCCTCGGGCACACAGCGTCTCTCGGCAGCGCTCTGAGAGCTGCTCCACCCTCCGGTTCAGATCCCTGAAGGCCAGCTGCTCGTACTGCAGGGAACACGGCTCCTGCTCCTCCTCCACCACGTCAGCCAGAGCCAGGCCGTAGGCCGACAGCACGCCGCTGTATCTGTGACACACACACACACACACACACACACACACACACACATGAAAAAACAACAACACACATTGAACATAACGATCACTGAGAGACAACATGCTCAAAGAGCCTTCAGCGTGCATCTGATCTGGATTCAGCTCTGTATTTACTGAGAGGATCGACTGGAGCACAGAGGATGCTTCAGTCTGACTTTATTGATCTCCCATTAGATGGTAGCAGTTCATATTCTCTGTTCAGAACATGCTTTGGGTCCCAGAGGATGTTACTGGACAGCCTCACTAGGGTTGACCAACAATCTTTGAGCAGATTTTTAACAGGTGGAGGAGTTTTGATTTTAAAGTGTTATTGATTGATTCTATTACAGGCTCAAGTAGATCAACACACACACACACACACACACACACACACACACACACACACACACACACACACACACACACACACACACACACGGAGACACAACCAATCTCCCTTACTTGTGTATGAAGACTGTCTTCATCCCCAGGGCGCGGGCGATGGCACAGGCATGTTGCCCACCTGCCCCCCCGAAACATGCCAACACATGCTGAGAGGTGTCATGGCCTTTAGCCTGGGAGGTATGGGCGTAGGGAAAGAGAAAAGAATGGAGAGAAATCATAATTCAAATCATTTACACTACAGGTATTTGTGTTGTACCAGTATTGATTGATTTTATTTTAGGGATTATAAAGAAAAATATATATATACAAAAGGTTGAAATGTTAAAGTGAAAACATAAGAAAGCACGAGATATGCAAAATGAAAAGAAACACAAACATTACCCTGAAATCTATTTAAATTCCTCCACAATTAAAATACAAAAAAGAAATGAAATCTGAAACCACTGATATGGTGACAGCCCTATTTGACACATTTACCAACCAAACAAATATCATTTCTCAAAGCTGGAGTTAAAAACCAAAGCATACCTGTGTCAGCGCTCTGATTGGCCGGCACATGGCCTCATTAGCAACACGGATGAATCCCATCGCAACCTCCTCCACACTCATCTCTGACCCGCTGCCGTTGGCTCCATTTGTACTAACCTGCGAATAAAAACACAAAAAAAACACATTACAGCCTCATCAGTAATACTCCCTTATAGACTTATTTAGAATGATATCAGTTGTTTTTAGTGCCTGTGATTGCTTAGAGGACAGGAAGAGGTTGATCTCCTTGCTCAGACGATGGAAATGCTTCATGGTTTCCTCTGAAGACAACGCCTCATTCTCCCCCGGCCCGAAGATCTTTGGGAAGAAGGAAGGCAGGAGTCGACCCAGAGCTAAGTTAGCATCGGTCACAGTCAGAGGGCCGCCTAGGAGAACCACAGGGAAGCAATGTTAGCTGAATGCGGTTCAAAGTAGGTATTTCAGTCTTGTATTTTAACCTATGTTATGTAAGTCTGTGAGAAATGTTATGCTCTGCCCTACAGGGAACATTAGATTTGAAGTCATGTTTATGTTTGTTGGCACACAGCACATTTCCAACTGAGCACTAGGAGCTCCAGCTTCAGTTATATCATCTGAAACTTGGACCTGTGCCAATGTCCAGGCTTCATATAGCTAAACCAGATAATAAATCCACAGAATGGGGCAGGGAGGAGGACATGAGGAGACAGAAGTAGAAGCTCTGTGTGGATTTATGTCAAACGGAATTTAATGGCGGAAAGAGTGGGCGAAAGGTGGGAGAATCGACCCTGACATGTATAGTTTGTAAAAACAGATTAAAAGGGAGGAAGCACAACAGTGAGTTACCTTTTCTGTAGCAGGCGGGTCCTGGATGAGCTCCTGCAGACTCTGGTCCAACCACAAACATCCCTGATCTGAGAGGAAGGAGAGAAAACAGAAAGGAGAGAGGCCATGAAACCCAAAGGAGCAGAAATTGTACGAATCTGGATCCAACTGGATGCAGAGAGGAAGAAAGAGTATCGTGCATGTGTGATAACATGGCCTTATTTGAGTAACAAAATGGCAAGAGTACTCAAAATCTCAAAGCTTAAGTACTTTGGACAAAAGGGCCCACAGTCTTTCATGCCTGTGCCATTTTGTTTTAGTAAGAACTGAGGTAATTCTATCCTAGATCTTTATACAATCACATTTTTAATTTTGCAGCCATTGAAGTCGCCCCCAGGTTTAAGCACAGCGGGGTCTAATCACCAAACACCATTACATGCATCTGTGTATTCCCGGCAATACATATATATCGTTACATCAAAACTGTCTCTCCTGATTGAAATGAAGCTTAGCGCAAGTTCAACCAGGAAGACCATCTTTAGTCATTCATTCACATATTCCCAGTTTACTACTCTCTCTCCTCTCAATCAGTGATCGACAGCTAGACCTATCACTTCGACCTCTATTCCCACAAGCCTATCATAGTGCATTGCTAAACCTTTAAATCTGCTCTCCCCCTTCCTCACAGTTGTCATGTTCCTGTTGTTCAGAGCTAGTGACCGACCTGAAGAAGAGGCGGGACCCTCCTCCTGCAGCTACAGTGTTGATGTCCAGCTGCGGGGCCTGCAGGGTGACCCCGGCAGTCGTTGCCTCGAACACGTGTTCATACTGACCCGCGTAGCGACTTACATCAGTGGATGTTCCTGGAGAGTGCAATAAGATGGAAGAAATCAGGAAGACAAGTAGCATGGAAAGCTAACACTTAGCATCTCTCCCGTTTATTCCCATTTTCTTTAATCTGTAAATAATCTATGCACAGGATCAAAAAACATGTCAGGTCACATGTAATAACAATGTTTAAAGGCGTTTAAAACTACAAAACAACAGCAGGAAGTTCCTCACATAGTGTGTGCATGCAATAAATGTACACTAACAATATTCCTCCGCTTCTCTGCAGCTCCACTGTTCTTAATTATGCAGCATTGCCCCTACTCACCTCCCATGTCAAAGCCAATCACAGGTTTCTTCTCCATCTGGTTGTATGAAGTGATGGCGTATCCCACCACCCCCCCCGCGGGGCCGGAGAGGACGGCCCGCGACCCGCAGAACTGATCCATGGGAGTCAGCCCGCCGTCCGACTGCATGAACAGGACGTCCACATCCTGAGGACAGAGGGACGGTAGAGATGGAGGAGATCATATTGTTGTTTGGATGAAGCTCAGCATATCAAAAACATGCCTAAACTTCAAAAACAGAAGCGCCACCTGCAGATTAAAATGGACGTCACTGCTGCCTGGTGTGACCTAGCAGAGTCGTATTTAAATGATTGCTAATAGGAAGAGGAAAATCTAATATCAAAACATATATGAAGTCTTAAAGGTCCCCTATTATACTGTTTTTCATCAATATAGGTCTCAGATATATACAGAGCCTGTCTCTCATTGACTGAAACACCAAACAGATCATTGCAGCATCCCATAATCCCCTCTGTTTCAGCCCTGTTTCAAAAGTGCTGATTCTCTGTCTGTTACTTTAGATGAAAATAAGGAGCCCCTCCCCACGCCCCTCTGAGAGAGATTTGGTTAAAAAGAACTCAATGGTGCTCTAGGAGGAGATTCAGGTGATACGGTGGGGGGGGGGTTACCTTGGTTGCTGATTGGCTAATGGTTACACAAGCCAAAACATCGTTATGACATCATCAAGTGGCCAAAATCTGATCAGCTCATTTTCAGACAGGTTTTTATAAAAATGGATCAGGACAAAGAGAGAGAATCTTTTTTCCTGAAACTTCCAGAGTCTCTTTTCACAGAGGGGACACATGTTGATGTAGAAGAGACATGAAGAAGAGGGGACACATGTTGATGTAGAAGAGACATGAAGAAGAGGGGACACATGTTGATGTAGAAGAGACATGAAGAAGAGGGGACACATGTTGATGTAGAAGAGACATGAAGAAGAGGGGACACATGTTGATGTAGAAGAGACATGAAGAAGAGGGGACACATGTTGATGTAGAAGAGACATGAAGAAGAGGGGACACATGTTGATGTCGAAGAGACATGAAGAAGAGGGGACACATGTTGATGTAGAAGAGACATGAAAAGGTGGATTTTGCATAATAGGTGACCTTGAAGTGGGTCTAGTGGAAAACACACCTTGAGGCCCCCCTTGAACCCAGAGGTGAAGCCTTTTAAATACTGATGTATTTTGGGAGTGAGGTATGCGTCTGCGCAGACGGTGTATCCGCGAGGCACCGCCCGCACCATGGGCATCACCTGGCTGGACAGAGACACCTGAGAGAAGCCCAGACGGAGAGCCAGAGCCCCGACGGCTTTCTCATGATCCGACCATCTGAAGGAGAGAGGCAGAGGAATGAGGCGAGGCAGGAATGTAAAGCAAACATAAAAGTCTTATGTAATTAAAACCGCTCCTCTAAAGCCTACCTTATCTTTTAAAGCTGAGATATGTGAGAGGAAGCAAAGCAAGTTGGGCAAGTGCTTTGACCACTTGTAGGTAGAAGTGTGAGTGGATTTAAGGAGAACATGGGAATGGATACAGTTATTGATCTCGCACTAGTATTATATAACATCATGTCCTTGGTGTGCGAGTTTTGATGTAAATTGTATTAGGTGTGTTGTTCTATAGATCTGTTGCATCCGCTTCTTTCCAGTAAATGAAAACATGTTTGATAAAGTGGGATACACTTTAATATAATGTACGTTACTTGGAGAACTTTTATTTTGAGCTTTGTTTGAGTGAGAGAAGGTCCTGTAGCTTTGGCAATTTAGCAGACAATGTAAGCTAAGAAATACTAAATGTTTTATTATGGAATGTATACAAGTTACTATAAAGTTGGGGAAGCTGTCACTTATAGTTCTGAGAAGGAAAGAAAGGTTGGAAACGACAGGTTTAGACTTTCAAAAATTGGGAAATAGATGCACCTCTTAAAGTTAAACATGAACTTTCCCCCAGTGCAGCTCATGGGGACCCATACAGTAACAGTGAAAACAGGCTATCCGACACCCGACACCTCTGACATACATACCACTATCCCCACAGAGAGGGTGGGAACTGTTCACCAGTGTACAGTGACAGGGAGGAAAAGACAAATGACTTCTATAAGAGATAAGAGAAGGAGAGATGGGCGGGGACAATCCTTAAGAGGTAAAAGGACAAGATGTACTGACGTGTAGGAGTGCAGCAGGAGGACAGCGAGGCTGGTGATCCCCCGGGACAAAACCCCCTTCAGGTCCTTCTCCACCAGATCCAGATCCAGCTCCCTCCACACCTCCAGAGAGTCTCCTGTGCTGCCTGAGGGAAAACACACACACACACACACACACACACACACAGCAGGACAATTAAAATGATGCTATCAAACAATGCCATCATGCATGTGACAGAAGATTGATTTAGATTACATTCAACCGATTGTCCTTGCACAAGCAGTGAGCCTCTAACCAGAAGTGCAGAGGGATATGTAGTATGATATAAATCTACACATCTGTATAAGGCAGTATACACATTACAAACAGCAGTGTAGAAAAATAAATACACTATAGATCAGGTATAAATAAGACAGTTTCATAAAGACATAATAAAGAATTAATAGGAATATATTATGGGCCGTTTTTAAATTCTAGGAATAAATATGAGTATGCCATAGAAAATAGTTGTTTGGAACGTTTTTGTAAATACACATAGGTTGGTATGTGAAGAAATGACAGTCACTAAGTATCCAGGGGTGTGTGTGTGTGTGTGAGAGAGAGAGAGAGAGAGAGAGAGAGAGAGAGAGAGAGAGAGAGAGAGAGAGAGAGAGAGAGAGAGAGAGAGAGTGTGTGTGTGTGTGTGTGTGTGTGTGTGTGTGTGTGTGTGTGTGTGTGTGTGTGTGTGTGTGTGTGTGTGTGTGAGCTGACTTTCCTACACTTACACTACATATAATGTATTCCTACCACCACTGAAGTCACCACTGACATAATGTGAAGTGTGTTGGTAGTACAATGGTTTGAGTTTCACACCTGTGACAATACGCTTGGGGTCTTTCCTGGGCAGCTGGCAGCCATCTTGCACGAGAACAACCCGCTCGGCCACTTCTATGACTTCTTCATACAGCACATCAGGAACTGCCACCTCCTACACACACACACACACACACACACACACACACACACACACACACACACACACACACACACACACACACACACACACACACACACACACACACACACACACACACACACACACACACACACACACACACACACACACACACACACACACACACACACACACACACACACACACACACACACACACACACACAGGAAGTCAATTCAAAGCCGGTCTTGAGGAAAGTTTGACCAACAGCTCATGTCAGAGCCCTACAGATAAGGATGAGGCCATATTTCAACATGCATAACTGCTCTGCATTAGCTCCATAGATAAGTGACCATTTAAACCACTAATGGTACAACTGGTCAGGGGACAAACTCCAAAAACTGCCCCCTGTTTCTGTTACGTAAAATAATGTCTAAACCTTGTATGATGCAGGGACACTGGACCTGTACCCAAGATATTCATGAACAACACATTCAGAACAGTAAAAAACTGAGAGACACAAAATCCTTACAAAGTGGCACAAAATGACCAGAAATAGATGAAAAACGACCACAAAGACAAGCTTAAAACAACAATAAGAGACAGAACAAACAGTGCTAAGGCCTCTTAAGTGTCTTTGCCAAAGGACCAACTGTCTCATAATACACTCATGACTTTACATTTCAGTTTTAAATATTTTCGTATAAATATTCATGTGTTAAGAACATCTAGCATTACACACCAGATCGAACAGCTTGGGTCTGGCCTGAGTGCCGATGTGCAGCAGGTCTTTGAAGCCCTGTGTGACCATCAGAGCCGTGCGCTCCCCCTCTCTCTCCAGCAGAGCGTTGGTCGCCACCGTGGTGCCCATCCGGATCCAGCCAATCAGAGAGGTGTCCACCGGCTGCTCGCGGGGGAACATCCGCCCCGTTTCCTGTACAGAAATATATCATGGTTCACGTCGTTTTTGATTTTGTGTTGATTTAATGAGCAATACTATACAAGCTACATGAATCTGTGCAGCATTCATTCATCCACCACATGACCACAGTCAGGGTCACATTGTATGCCTTTGGCAACACATACATCTATTGTGCATGGGTGCTTTTATATTTTTTCAGCAACTTGCTTTACACTCACAAAGTTACGTAACTACCACTACGGTTTTTTTGCACTACTAAATACCAAATACTGTTAATATGTAGATTCATTATGTGACCATCTATGTTTCCTGTAGTTATTGAATTGCTCTTTTTACTGCACTGTTACTGTACAGTTTTATTATTATTCTGCTGCTGTGTTTATTGTATTTTTTTTAACTCTGGCACAACTATTTCCTTCGGGATAAATAAAGTCCTATCTTATCCTTTCTTACTAACAGTTCCCTGTGCTTGAACTAATTTCAACTAATTGATTAGTTTGGCGCCATAATCGCCAATTATTCTGATTATTTGTAAAAGTAATTTTCATGCAATGTCATAAAACAGAGAAAATCTGCACACAAAGGTACTATCAAGACCACACCTTGTACTTGACATGGGCATTTTTCACTAGTTTCTGACGTGTTATACTGAATTATCTTTTATTATTAAAACAATTGCTAGCTAAAAAATAAATTCTCTTTGTTTTTGCAATTATAACAGGTATACATATTGGTAAAAATGGCTTCCGAAGAGGTGAGCTATGGAACTTGAAACGCCATGCCATAGTGTTAAAACTGAGACCATAAATACATTTAGAGTCAAGGCTTTTATTGGCATTTGTACATAGTGTAGTTATGACAGCTACATTGGTCTTTGAGTGGTGGGTAATTCTCCAAAACTCTTTGTACCAATGGAATATTTAATAGTAAATGCTTTCTTATGGTATGTATAATGTCCTGTCATGTTACCTCCTCCAGGACTCTGCGGATCCCCTCTGTTGGGGCGTCTTTGTAGTTCTGGGGGTCCCGGGACAGGAGCTTCAGGACTCTCTCGCTCCCATCGGGCAGACGGGCAAACACATCGGTGAAGGTGCCCCCCCGGTCGATGGCGAAGTCGAATTTTCCCTGAGTCTCAGCCATGGTGAAGAGAGAAGAAGAGCTGCTGAGAGAGATAATCTGCAGTCACAGGAGGAGAGTGAGGTGAGTTATATCCTCTGTATCACTGCGCTGATAACACACACATGCTCCTTCACTAAATACACACTTATTGCACACTCACATTTCTTATCAACCCCCACCACGCTTATATAAGTCAGTCCCCCCCTCTCTCTCTGATCTCCAGGTTTGGTTTAACATTTTGCTGACTACAGACATTCCTCACTCATCAAAACGTTTCACGCACTCCTGTGCATCTTAACTTCACACATCATGCTTATCTTACTCTCAAGTTCAACAGATGTGATATTTGACTAAAAGCAGTAAAACCACAGTGAAAAGAAACGAAAAGTATAAGTCTTGCATTCACAAAAATGTAAATGGGTAAAAGTGCAAAGGTTTAAGCATCAAAATATACTTTAAGAAAAGTACTTTTTATGCAAAATTTGTCCATAAATACTAATGCATGATTGTGTTCATCAATAAAATCTTGCAGCTGGTCTAAGTAGAGCTGCATTTATTAATGTATACTACTGGGTAATTACATTATAATAATACATTATATTAAATTGGTTGATAGCATTTTGTATTAATATTAAATATATAAAAGTAATTGTTACAAGTGCAATATGTTTCCCTGAGATGTAAAGAGGTAGAAGTAGCCTTTACTTTAAAGTAGCAGAACACAGAACTACTGAAGTAAAGTACACATGCAGTAAATGTACTAGTATGTCTTGTACTTTTAGCTCGTTTGTGACAATTACAAGTTTTCTGCATGACCTTTAACAAACCATGTCTGACTTCTGAGTTTAACCATGCTATTACATATATATCGTGCATTTTCTTTTACAAATGCAGATTATGTCATTTTAAAGGAGTATTCAGTCACAGCCAAACAGAGAGGATCCCTGCAGGAATATCAATGAAACTGCCCCCATAAAGTGAGTTAAAACAGCCATAAACTCGCTACTGATTCTGCAGCTGGTTTGGACTGTTATCGTTAGAGAGACATTAGAGAGTAATACAGGATAATGCAATATAAATTAGTTTTTGAAGGCTGTCTGCAGCTGTGCATGCTGTGTCTGCAGACCCTTCAGTCTTTGTGCAGTAGGATTGCTTGCAGGACTCAGAATCGACGCTAAATGTGTGCACAAAGTGTCGGTGTTTACCGTGTTCACTCACCGGTCCGCCGCTGCTGCTCTGTCCGGTGATAATCTGTGATAATCCGGTAACTATCAGATGTTCCTCCCCTCTGCACTGACTGTGACGTGTGTGAAGGACAGGAAACACAAGGTTGCTGCTGCTGCCTGAGGGTTAAACCCCGCCCCCCTGAGAGGCGCCGGTGTCAGTGACGAGGACCCATTGACCTGTTTTTATGCTGTCCTAAAATATGAAGCGAAACTCTAAATTAAAATGTTTCATCATACTCCATGTTATTTTGAATCCATCACATCTGACACCACACATGCACCTTGTCCACGTGTCCACAAAGAGACACCGACACCTGCTGGTGGTTTACTGGAAGTACAGATGTGACAGTGAGTGATAATGTATAAAGTGGTCCTCTCCAATTAAACAATACATTACAAAATCCAGTATATAAAACACAAAATAATACCATCATTCAAGACTGACTGCACCACTTTAGTCACCTGAACATCAATACAATTCAAAAAGTAAATTTACAAGAAATTATAAATCTAAAAGTTGGAGCAAATTAGAGGTAAACAAAAAAGGGAACATGGGTTAAAATATGTCATATACTTAAATGATTACTAATAAATTGTCTTCCAGAATAAAACTAGAACTAAGTTTACGGGGTCTGTAGAAGAAACATATAAAAACAGGAATATATTATTTAAAATAAAACTAAAGCAAGCTCTCAGAAACGGAGAAACGACAAACAAAAATGTTCTGTTGATATTAAATCATAGCTTGAAGAAAATAGAAATATCTAAACTTTCAACTGTCAAATTATTTGGAAGCCCATATGAGAAATTATTATTACACAATAGTAGCCTACAGTATTCAAAATTATGCATGTTTTAGTTAAATAAAGTTGAATGCAATAATCCAATTAGCATTTGCATTTTGACACACTGTGAGTATGTCCAATTGTTAATAAATACCATTCTATTTTTAACTGTGACTTTAATGTTTTCCACATTTATTCAAACAGGTAGTATACAGATTTGGTTAGGGTTAGTACTTATAGATAAAACAATCCTTTAACTACTTTGTTTAATTAAAGGTATTATTATTTGAGTGAATAAAGAGCAAAGACATGTGTGAGTTTACAAGTGCTTTTATTGATAATTAAGGCACAAGTGAACACCAGCGACACAGAGCTGAAGTTTGAACACAGGTAACAGTGGAGACTTCTCATGGCTTGTCAGTGAGGGGCAGTAGTGTAGTGGAGGTGAGGATTCAATCAGAATAACATGCATAGATGAAATAGAACATATCCAAAATACTACCATGGGTACAAAGCTTTTAAACGTTTAATAAAGCTGGCTAACATGCAGCCGATCTATTAAGCTTCCCGACACAATGAATAAATGTGCCTTCACAGAAATGTTTTCAAGTATTGCAATACATCGGACTATTAACTTTTATTTATTACTAATATCAGCATATAACACTCAGTACCTCAGCACCAAAACAGCCTGCTTCCACTCAAACATTAACAATCAAACACATTTCAAACTTCTTTGGTGACAAAGGACACATGCAGTCAGACACAAAAAATGTAACAATATATAACTCTATTAACTTTGTTTGAATACCTCTATGGAGAAAATTGCACGTCAAGGACACAAGACAGATTCAGTCAGAAAACGTCCTCAGAAACACTCTGCAACAGCTTTTGTGCACATGAATAAGGCCACAGTTTAGTTTCAGTTTAGTTTAGAGGGATAGTTTGGATGTTTCTATGTGGGTCTTATGAGGTACTCATCCACAGTCAGTGTATTACTGACAGTAGATGCAGTTTGGGTAACAGACAGGAGTACAGACAGGAAGCTAAGTAATGAACGGCTGAAAAACAAACATATTTTACACAAAAAAAAAATCAATATCAGTCTTTTTCTCTACTAAAGTGAATATGGAGAAGTACCAACATACAACGCCACTTCACAAATCCAAACCGTCCCTTTAACGTAATGCATCCTGGTTTGTAACTGCTTCCAAAACAGAAAAGGACACACCTGTATTGCTTCACTTGCAGTGCAAACATTGTAAAGTCAGAAGTGATCTTTTTTAAATATATATATATCAACGTATAACTTAAAAGGTTTCATTAAAAAATTAAGTTATTCTAGTGGCACTGAAAAGTGGTTAGAAATGGTGTCCAGTTATAATACGAGGGTCCTGCTTGAATACACTTTTCGTTTAAGCTTAATCCTCTTTTCTCTATTTTAGAGAATAGTTTATTTAAAGTTGTATATCTCAGTCAATTTTATAATCTGACCTCTCAGGTTTCTCAGTGGCAGTTCTGACATTTAGGATGACACTTCTGATTGTCGACGTTGCAGCGACATCCCCCGCTGGTGTCTCCAGGACCCTTTAAGAAACAGATCAGAATAAGAGGTGACTTACCTTTCAAATAAAAACCTTTTTTAACCACCAAGTTTTGGCAGATTTGTATTTGGATCATTGCTCCAGGGTGTAGGAGATCGGGTTTCTACATAAAGGGTAATTGAAAATATTTTCTCTCAGTGATTGTGCTGTTATGTTAAATGTCTGTTGTTTGTTTTACATGTATTTTGTGTTGATGTTACACATGGAGCTGCTGTGATGCAAGTCACATTTAAGACTTGATCTGAACAATAAAGTATTATCGTATCGTATTGTATCGTATCGTATATTATAACAAAAGAGAGATGCAATGAGGAAAGGAAGGGTTTCTTACCCCCGGCCCCCAGCGAGGCCCTCTGGTCACCCAGCAGATCTCAGAGTGACAGACGGTGCAGCGCAGCCAATCACATCCATCCCTCTTCTGCACGATGATGCCACACTGCGGACAGTGCATGGCCTCGCCTGACTGCACCAGGGTCTGTTTGAGACAGAGAAGTGTGAGTGACAGTTTCTGATATGCAGAGATGGCAAAAGTACACACATCCTTTACTCAAGTAGAAGTACAGATACTCGTGTTTAAAAATACTCTGGTGAAAGTAGAAGTACTGACTAAACTTCTTTACTCAAGTAAAAGTAAAGAAGTATGGGCTTTGAAATGTACTTAAGTAAAAAGTACCCATAACTAGCAGCTGTTTTAAAGAGTACCTGACCTCCCTTTATATTAATAGAACAATAATGTCATTGTTAGCTAATGAATGTTTCCATGCTGAACAACGGCAACATGACAACGTTTTCATTGGTCCCTCTTCTTTAGAGAAGACCAGGAAATGATGGATACACGGATCGTGTTCAAATCAATAGGCACGCAATGACTCTAAATAATAATGATCACGCCACCAAACACACATTCAAACTAAAGGAACCAGCCTGTTTGGGAAATGTGAGAAGTAGAAAGTACAGGTATTTGGGTTCAACATGTAAGAAGTAGAAAGTACAGGTATTTGTGTTCAACATGTAAGAAGTAGAAAGTACAGGTATTTGTGTTCAAAATGTAAGAAGTAGAAAGTACAGGTATTTGTGTTCAAAATGTAAGAAGTCAAAGTAAAAAGTCGTCAGAAAAATAAGTAGTGGAGTAAAGTACTGATACCAGAAAAATGTACTTAAGTACGGTAACTAAGTATTTGTACTCCACTACTTCCCACCTCTGCTGATACGCATGAAACGTGATTTTATCCCAGATTGGTTATTGCACCAGTGCATTCATTAAAACCAGTCAAATAGACAGCTTAGAGGAGGTTTCTCTTTCACTTCACAGTTCACACATAAACACAAGGGAATGGCAGCTTGCCTTCAGTAGGTGTGTCGTCCTCCTGGCTGCAGAGTCATTTATAGCGCGCGCTGCGAGGTCATCCTGGTATTGCTTACAGTTCATTCCCTCGTGGATAGACTGAGGAGAGACGGGACATAGAAACAAGGATCTAAATATAACCTCAGGGGAAGTTTAATGCATACAAATAGAAACATTTCTGTCTCTAAACAGCAGTACGCCTGAGGGGATCAGTCCAATTAGAAACATGTGAGTCTCAATAACTTCTTTCAAAGGGCTTGTTGTTATCAATTAGCTCTGACTCATTGGTTAGAGCACAGTACAATCTTTCTACTATTTCTATTATCACCAACACAGAATATATAATTGTCTACCACTAGGGGTCTCCTAATCAAAACATGACACCATCACAACTAACAAAATAAAACGCAATCTTACCTTGATTACATTTACGGATTGCTCTGGGTTTGAAAATGGTTGGAAATAATGTGAGTATCAAACTCAACAATATATATATGTAACAAAGTCTAGCTGTTTTTCTACTTTGAATGCAGTAATCTTAAACATTGCGCCAGTAAATGATCCAATGCTGTATCATTTGTGTGTATACACTGTTGATATGTCCTACCTTGCAGATGAGGCAGTTGTGTTTGGTGCAGACGGGGCAGTGGAAGACGTTGACCGTGTCCTCGTACACACACCAGCCTGCACAGTCGGGGGTGGCGCAGTGATAGCTGCCCTCACACCGAGACTCTGCCACCGACAGACCTCTCTGCAGCCAGCGCTCGTACTCCTCTGCCGGCACCAACTGAGGACGAGGAAGGGATGTAAGATATTGTAGGAGCCACATGTAAAGTATTTACTGTGTTTGTTTCGTCACATGTTTTGAGTCACTATAGGTGGTGGGCGTGTCTATTGGATTTGTGTGGTGACGTTTGTGGTTATATCCGGTTGCCTTACCTTGTCATAGATGGAGGGGGAGTGAGCTTGAGAAGGAACATTTTTGTTGACCGCATACCCAATAACATACTGGATATGGATTAGAAAGAATTGCATGTTTGCTTGTTTCGTTTGCAAATAAAAGGTCAAACGCATACCAGTGGAAAGACTGTATTCTTGCGCGTCAGACAATGTTTTTCTCCTGTTTATTCCCTTGCGGCACTTTGTTTGGATTACTACAGCCGTAACAGATATGAAGGACGACTTAATACTAATAATACTGCTAACAGGATTCTGTTGTTTCCATGCATTGTTCTTCCACACATCTTGTTCTGCGCACAAAGGCATTTCAACTGTTACATTCCTTCAGCTTTTCTGTTTAGATTATAGTTAATTTTTTGACATCTAGAAGCTGGGGAG